GAATATTCGGGTCTGGAGGGGAGATCCCGGATGTGGAGAGGAGAAATTGGGGTCTGGTGATGAAGATCTGGGTCCTGGAAGGGGAATTCAGGGCTTTGAAGGGAAGATGGGGTCTGGAGATGGGATATTGGGACCTGGAAGGGAGATCTGGGACATGGAGGGGGATATTGAGGTCTGTGGGTGGGAATCTGGGGAATGGAGGAAGGATTCAGGGCCTTGAAGGGAAGATAGGGTGTGGAGGGGGGATTTGGGGGCCTCAAGGCTATAGATTGGGGTCTTGATAAAGGAACCAGGGAACATCACCAGGTCCTGAGCTCTAGGGGAAGGGTTTGGGGAGGGATCCGGGATCCCCAGGAAGGGATTTTTGGGGGATCCCACCCCTTGAAGGGTGGGGGTGGCTTCATTCCGGTCTCAGCCCCGCCCTGACGCTCCCCATCATTAGCCTGAGGACTTGATGAACATGCAGCACTGCAACCTGCTCTGCCTGCCCGAAAACTACCAGATGAAGTATTATTTCTACCACGGCCTCTCTTGGCCACAGGTAGGAGCTGTGATCCTCCCACCCCCCCAAAAAAAAACCACCCATGGAACTCCCAAACCCAGATTTGGGTGATCCCAATGCCATTTTTTCCCTCTTTTTGCAGCTTTCCTACATTGCTGAGGATGAAAACGGAAAGATTGTAGGCTACGTCCTGGCGAAGATGTGAGCATGGCTGGGGGGGGGAAGGGGGGGACCATCCCCCCTTCTTTGGGGGTGTGCTCATAGATTTGGGGGTGTGCTGAGAGGAGTTTGGGGTGCCCCCACCCCCCACATATCGTCTTCATATGCAGGGAGGAGGATCCTGACGACGTCCCACATGGTCACATCACATCACTGGTAAGTTATTATGGGATTTTGGGGAGGGGGGGGGGGAATTGAAAATAGGGAACTTAAGGGAAAAATGAGGCTATGGGGTTTTGTGGGGAGGTGTCGTAGGGACTCCAAAGCAGATTTTTGAGCATTTTGGGGGGATGTTTTAATGCATTTTGGGGTCTTTTAGAGGGAGTTGAGGACTGGGAGGAGGGCATAGGATTTTGGGGGTGGGATTTCATCACAGA